TTGCGCCGCACGCTTTCCCCTGAAGCCCCGCCCGATTACCGAATCGCGATTTCAAGACGTTCTGCGCCCTACTGACTCTTGACTCCCTCATTATGTTTGTCTTCTCTAGGTCGCGCCAGGGGTTGCGCCAGACATCCCGCGCCCTACCGAATTGCGATTTCCTTGTTTTACCGACCGTCTATGCCAGACACCAGGCACCCCCACTTCTCGAATTGCGCTCTTGTAATGTCTGTATGCGTTCCACAGGTCGCGCCATACGTTGCACTAGACATTCCGCGCCTCCCCCACATTTGTGAATGTATCATTCCGCCCGCTTTCCAGGGGTTGCGCTGTGTGCTGCGCGAATCCCTCGCACAGTGCCGAATTGCAAGTGTCCCGCTCCGTCTACCTTTGAAAAGTTGCGCCATAGGTTGCGCTAGACACCCCGCGCCCGCCCGAATCACGATGCCCCCACTCCGTCCACCTTCCATCGGTTGCGTTGAAGGTTGCGCCAGGCAGCCCCCGCCGCCGTCCCCCTCCCCCCGAATTAATGTTGGCCCGCTCTGTCTACCTCCCATAGGTTGAGCCAGACACCCGCGACCATTAGACGGAGATGTCCTCACCCTGTCTGCATCTCACCTGTTGCTCCATCAGTTCCGCCAGACCCCGCGCACCCCACCTCGAAAAAAACATATCCAGACGAAGGACCCGACCACATGCAGTTGCGAGCACCGCAAGGCAGGTGACACGAAGGAGAAGGGCGATCAACTACAGTCGAAACCGATGGTAAGGAGGGGTAACCTTTCCAAGGGTACCCTTGCATCCTTGCCTCTTCGTTTCATCCTTGACCACTCTTGATGGCAAGCCCCGCTCGAAAAGCCTCGACTTGCATGTCCAATAGGCTTGCATCCGTATTGCGCATCCTTACTATCAGGTTTGACTGTACGAGTGGCGTGCGCGACATGGCTGCTCCCGATAGGCAGCGCGCCACCACATGGATGCATCTCGCGCCACGCGGGCGCTCCGCCACTGCGGCGGTCGGTGGGGCTCCCTAGGGAGGCCACGAAGAACGTGAAGGATCTGCCGACCTTGAGATCGGGCTACCACCCCCGCAACAGCTCGTGCCATCTATTGCGCGCCAAAGTATACACCCATACACTTTCCGTCGGCGGCTAGGCAGAGGGACTGCTCTGGCGATGTAGCATTAGTGGGACACACGGAACGCGAATTAAGACGCGGTGCACGGGGAAAGAGAAGGGAGCCCGGCACGGGCGGTAGGTAGACGGAAGCCAGGCCCGCTCAGAGTCGGGGGCGGCAAAGAGGGGGGTGATGACTAGGGGGGGTGGATATCATGGCGGGGGCCATGATATTCCCCAGATTTCATGGCGCCTCTTCTCATTTCATTACGTCCCTGGCCCCCCCGCTGGGCCGCGCACATGCCGCCGGTCATGATTTGCACCCCCCCCTCTTGGACAACCCCCTCTTTGCCGCTCCCGACAGAGCAGGGCCACGCGGCGGCGGGGCGGGCGCAGGGGCCAGGGACCAGCAGCGGCGGCAGGGCAGCAGCTGGGGGCAGGCAGCCAGAAGGCTGCCGGGCACGCGCCCAGGGGGGGGAGGCAGAAGGTCCAGCGCGAGCAAGAGGCGGAAGCAGCACGGCGAGGCGACCGTGGTGCCGAGGTCCAAGTGACCTCCAGGCGCGAGGGCGCAGCGCCGGAGCAGACCACCTCAGGTCAAGAGGCGGGGGAGCAGGGGAAGTGGCCCCAGCAGGCGGGGCGCGAGAGGCGCGGGCCAGCGCCGGGGGAGCAGGAGAAGAGGCCCCATCAGGCGGGGCGAGGGAGGCGCGGGCCTGCCAAGGTGCCGAGGTCCGGATGACCTGCGAGGCGACCTGGGGGCGACGGCCACGCCGGACCACCCAATGCGTGGGGGTCCAGAGGAAAGGTGGGGCAACAGCGGGGGTGACAGCAGCCGGGGCCGGCGCCAGGGCAAGCGCCCAGAGGGGGAGCGACAGACCAAGCGCGAGCCGGAGGCGGAGGCAGCACAGCGAGGTGGCCCAGGGTGCCGAGGTCAGGGTGACCTACGAGGCAACCTGGGAAAGCCGACCGGAACGGGCCACCTCCAGGCGAAGGTCGAAGGGGAAGCCGACCCCCCACGAGCAGGGGGGAAGGGAGCGTGGGCCGGCAGAGGTGCCGGGGCGACCGGGGTGGCAGCCAGGGCGAGACCACCCGAGGCGGGGGTCAGAAGGACGCGAGCGTACTGCCGAGACGCGGCAGCCCACAGGTCCGACAGCGTGGGCCAGCCAGGGTACCGAGATCTAGATGACCCAGGGTCCGCTGTGCCACCCAGTGCGGGGGGACCAGGGGACACGAAAGGGCAGCCAGGCGGGGCGGCGGGGCCCGTAGACCGACGGTGCCGATGGACGACGCCGGCCGGGGGAGGCGGCCTGAAAACCAGGCGAAAGGGATTGGGGGTGCCGAGACAGAGGGTGGCCTGCCGAGCACCCACCCCAGGCGGAGACCCGAAGGCCTGCCAGGCAAAGCGGCGAAGAAGCGCAGGAACAAACCCGCGCAGTGAGGGGTTTGGATCGAGGAGGAGGCGGCGGGCGTGCGCCCGAGGCTAAAAACTTGCAGAAGGCCGGCGATCCATCCTGCACATGGCCTTGGCATCGCTCGGACGTGTGCTATTTTTCCTTCGGCGAAGACCATCTAGGAGCATCCTTGTGATCACTTGGCGAAAAGCCACGCGCGAAACTGAAAAAAGCACAGGGGATGGGTATCGAGGCGAGGGGCAAATCTTTTCAGGAGGGAAAAACACACAGACACAATTAATCGTCGATTCCCCTGAAAATATAAGAAAATATGGGAAGTGGGGGGGAAGACAGAGACCCAGAAAATGTAGGAAAATATGGGGGATCCTGTTATCTGTGAAAAGTTATTTGCGTATCCCAGGGCCCCTTCAAAATACCAGCTCACTGGAGCCAAGGTCGAGTGCGAGCCCGAAGGCAGAGCCCAGGTGCGTGCAGGGCTGCCGGAGTGCCGATCCACATGTCGCGCAAGGATGCGGGGCAAGGGCCCGCAGGGGGGGCGAGCCGGCGGCTCCCACGGCGCGACGTGGAGAGAGGGGCGGGGGTGGCAGGCCGCCCATGTGCCGCGACGAGGAGGGCGGTGGAGCGCCAGGGGCAGCGAGGCGAGCGCCACAGCAGGTGGATGTACAGCCTGAGGGCTGGGGCACACACGCGCACACACATGCACACACACACAAGCACACACAACACAGCACAACACAGAACACAACACACCACATACAACACAACACAACACACACAGCACAACACAACACAGCGCAACACACATGTATTTGCGTTGTGGTTTCGCGCGCAGCGTCGAAGAGTATAACATTGGAGAGCAAGAGAAGAAAAACGCGCACCGCCGCCCCCCGCCCCACACGCACGCACGCAAGCACGCACCCACGCACGCACGCACACGCACACACACACACACAGCTACCGAACCTCGATCTCCCCAGACTGCTTACTGTCCATGGGTTACGCCACAGGTTGCGCCCCACAGGTTGTTGCACACCCCGCTGGCTACCGCATCGAGGTTTCCGTAGGGTGTCTACATCCGATCGGTTGTGCAAAACATCCTGCCGAGTACCAAATCGGTCGATACGTTCAAGCGTGCGTCCTGAAACGATGGGACACACTCAGACGGCTTCCGCTTGTTAAGGAAACTGGCGGCGCGGGAGAAGCGGCCGAGCTGCCATGTGGCGCCCGATACGACTTGTGCTTTTCTTTTTCGCCTCTCGGCGGCCACGCCCTCCCAGGGCGAGGAGGGCCCTGGCATCCCCACTCTTGCCAGGTCCCGGAGCTGTGGACTGGCGGCCAGAGCAGCAGCGCCAGGGCACATCCCACACGAACCGGACCGAAGATTCTCTACGACTCTACGACTGAGGCCTCCTCCCGCGTTCCCCCTCCGCGGCCGCCCTCTTATGTCCCTGCCCGCCCGGCGCATCCCGCTGACTGTTCAACCGCGTTGGCGGTGGCCCCCACCGCTGATCCGAAATGTGTGTGCAAGCCGCAGCACGCCCGCTGATGCCTCGCGCCGTTTCCAGAAGGCGCCCGCAGCGGTGCCCCCGGGATCGTCCGTCCGCGCTGCTGGCAAGGGAGCTGCGGACAGGAGTCAGAACGTGAATTACCTACCCCGCTTTCGCTTCCAGGCAAAACCAAGTCATACCACGCGCCTCCTCGTCAAGCGGCCTGACCAGTACAGGCCGTAGTTGAGCATCGCTTGGTACCTCTTGGAAGCGAGGGTGGTCAAAAGCGAGGTAGGTTTGTTTGCCCCCTAAGGAGGGCGCACTGCAGGCATCATTGCCGCGCGCTGGGCTTACCGCGGGCCCCCTTCGTCATCGTCGTCGCCAGTGCCGTTCTCATGTTTTTAGTGTTCCTGCTTCGACGCCCCACCTCATCTTCCTAGTCCGCGAGACCCCCGACGCCGTCATCCTGCTCCTCGTTCTCCTCACGCGTCCTCATCCCCCTTCTCCTAGCTCCTCAGCGTCCCAAGCATCCTCGTCCTCCCTGCTCCTCCTCGTGCCACTCCTCCTCGTCTCCATCGCAGCCTCCTCGACCTTCCCGTCCTCACTATTCAATTTTTCCTTACCCTTTTAAAACGTACTCAGTACGAATACTTCTCTCCTCTCTCACCCGACGCCGGACGGGGAATGGGCCGCCGCCGTCTGCGTGATCATTGTTCCAACTACACACTACACGCTGGACTTCATTAGCTAACGTTTCCCGATATGTCATTGTCCTTCAGTCTTCATCGATCCCCCAAACTGTGCTTCCGCTGCAGCGTTCGCATCATTTTAGGATCGGCGCTCTACTTCCATCGTTCAGAAAGGCGCTCCCGCCCGAGCGCGAGCCACTTGACTGGATCCGAGACTCATGGTTGTGGCCCTCCTTTCCCCTCCTCTGCCTGCCCCTGGTCCTCCTGCTTCTCGCGGTCCTTCCACTCCAGCGCCTGCTGCTGCTGCTGCTGCTGGTACTCGTCGTCCTCCCTCGTTATTACCCTGTTTCTACTGCTCATCCTCCTGCTCATCCGCCACTCCTCGTACGCAGCGTCCGCTTTGATACGCGTCGGCGGATAGAGACGACGTTAGCGCAATGTGGAGGAACCGCTGGGAAGGATAGGGTATAGTCATGCGGCGATGGTTCGGCGGCGACGCCGGCGAAGGCGTCTACGAATGCACTCCGCATGATATAGCAACGCAAAAGCATTGAGGGGCATGGCACAGGACCCGACTGAAGTCAACATTGAACGATCGGGGCCGCGACAGACTCCACGCGGTGTTAAAAACCTTTCCGCGCGCCGACGCCGCAAGAATTTACCGTATGATGTCAGATATGGCGCGACCGCACCTGGCTTGCACTACCCTCCCCCTAACTCCCGACCCATCCCCTTTTCTCTTCCCTCGCGCGCGCGGGAGCGCGCGCGGGGAGAGGGGGGATGAGGAAGGAGGATGACGACGACGACAACGACGACGACGACTACAATGGGGGGACGATAAGGTGGAAAAAGACGAGAATGGAGATACGGAGGGGCAGCAAGAGCAGGATGCGGATGGGCCCTGCGATGGCGGTGTGAATATAGAGAAGTTCTACCGGGAGGTGGGAGAGGAGCCGGAGCAGGAGGAGCAGCAGGAGGGAGGGAAAGGCCCCTCCCCCCATCCTCCTCCTCCTCCTCCTCCTCCTCCTCCTCCTCCTCCTCCTCCTCCTCCTCCTCCTCCTCCTCCTCCTCCTCCTCCCTCCTCCTCCTCCTCCTCCCTCCCCCTCCCCCTCCCCCTCCTCCTCCTCCTCCTCCTCCTGCCCCCCCCCTGGCGTCAGGACAGGCTGGGCGCGCTGGGCGGGCCGCCGAGCTGCGGCCTGGTGGTGGCCAACTGCGCGGGGGGCGCGCCGATGGGGGCCCCGGAGTGGGAGAGGCTGGCGGCGCTGCGGGAGCCGTCTCGGGGGGGGAGTGGGGGGGGCGTGCCTCGGCGGGCGAGGGCGGAGGAGAACTGCTGGAGGACAAGTGCACGGGGAGGACAACAAGGAGGAGGAGGAGGAGGAGGAGGAGGAGGAGGAGGAGGAGGAGGAGGATCAGTGTAAACCCAAGACTCATTAACTAGCGGTGTTGCAATCAGCCCTCCGTCCAAGTTCCCTCTTCATAGGCACCAACGTGTATTCACTATGGCTGGGAAAAGTGCCCCGTCTGAACATCATGAACTGCGCCAGAACCAGAACACCATGACTCCAACCCTGCGAATCACCGTTACTCCTGCGTCTTGACGATCCCTGCACGCGCCAGAACACTATTCCTGGGATGTAGCGGCCGCGAATCAACGTTCTTGTTGCGCCCTGACAGTCCGACATCATGCCAAAATAACAACGCTGGGAAATTAGCCATGATAGTCCTTGACAATCATGTGAACTCTTCCAACGAATGAATGTGCGCGGCGCTGAGGCGAGAGTCTCATTTTGAAGAGCCGTCTTCCTACCGCAGAACTGTTATTGATTTCTAGCACCAATGTGCGCAGCGCTATGGAGAGAGCCTCCACATTTTGAAAAGGAACCGCCTTCCATCCGTGAAGCTCTTGCAACAACTTGTAAGACGAATGCGCGCGGCGTGGACCCGAGAGCCACATTTTGAAAAGGAGCCACCCCTTGTATCCTTGAAGCCTATCAAAGCTTTTTAACGAATATGCGCGGCGCTTTGAAAGGGGGCCCGCCCTCCATCCGTGAAAACCTTACATATGCTCAGCCTCAGGATCATAAGTGGTGAGGAATTCCCCGGTGATGCGCCCGACCCGCCCTTTCGACGCGCCTCGGGGACAGGGATGAGTTATTCATAAGGAAAGAAGTTGGACTGGGAGGAGGAGGGGGGAGGAGAAGCAGGAAGAGGGGAGGAGGAAGAGGAGGAGGAATGCCCCTCCCCCCCAAGAGGGTTGCCGGGCCAGGCGAGCCGGAGGAGGCTGCAGGGTAGCCACCCTGCCCCATGTTTTCCCAACAATCTTGTGGTGTCGGGTCTTTTTTTGAAGAGACATCGCCCCGCGTCTCCTACCTTCCGCTGCCCCCTCCCTCCTCTTCTCATCATCATCATCAGCATCATCAGCATCATCATCATCATCATCATCATCATCATCATCATCATCATCATCATCATCAGCATCATCCTCATCCTCATCCTCAGCATCATCATCATCATCATCATCATCACCATCATCATCATCGATATCGTCATCATCATCATCATCATCATCATCATCATCATCATCATCATCATCGTCATTATCACCATCATCGTCGTCGTCGCACCATTTTTGGCACACCACTCACACGTTTCGCGGCCCCACAGGGAACTCCACAGGAGGTCCCAGTGGCGCAGCCAGCACGCGTCACGCACACAAATTTCGGCGCACCCCTGACACGTTTCGTGGCCCCATAGGGAGCTCCAACGAAGGCCCCAGTGGCGCAGCCCGCATGCGCCACGCACACAAATTCCGGCACCCGCCTCACACGCTTCTTGGCCCCATAGGGAGCTCCACCGGAGGTCCCAATGGCGCAGCCCGCATGCGTCACGCACACCCATTTCGGTACACCCCTCACACGTTCCGTGGCCCCATAGGGAGCTCCAACGAAGGCCTCAGTGGCGCAGCCCGCATGCGTCACGTACACCAATTTCGGCACACCCCTCGCACGCTGGGTTGCCCCATAGGGAGCTCCGCCGAAGGTTTGGCGCAGCCCGCATGCGTCGCGCACATTTCGGCACACCCCTCACACGTTTCATGGCCGGAAGGTCCCAGTGGCGCAGCCCGCATGCGTCACGCACACCCATTTCGGCACACCACTCACACGCTGTGTGGCCCCATAGGGAGCTCCAACAAAGGCCCAAGTGGCGCAGCCCGCATGCGTCACGCACTCCAATTTCGGCACACCCCTTACACGCTTTGTGTCCCCATAGGGAGCTCCACCGAAGGTCCCAGTGGCGCAGCCCGCATGCGTCACGCACACCGATTTCGGCACACTCCTCACACGCTTCGTGGCCCCATCGGGTGCTCCACCGAAGGTCCCAATGGCCCAGCCCGCATGCGACACGCACACCAATTTCGGCACACCCCTGACACGTTTCGTGGCCCCATAGGGTGCTCCACCGAAGGTCCCAGTGGCGCAGCCCGCATGCGTCACCAAAACCCATGCCGGCACACCCCTCACTCGTTTCTTGGCCCCGAAGGGAGCTCCACCGAAGGTCCCAGCGCCGCAGCCCGCATGCGTCACGCACACCCATCCGCACACCACTCACACGTGTCGTGGCCCCAAAGGGAGCTCCAACGAAGGTCCCAATGGCGCAGCCCGCATGCGCCACGCACACACATTTCGGCGCACCCCTCACACGTTTCTTGGCCCCATAGAGAGCTCCACACAAGGTCCCACTGGGAACGCCCGCAGGCGCCCGCCACATTCATTTCGGCACTCAGGCGGGCGGCTGGCGGGTCGGGACTTTAACAAAACTTGTAAATATTCTCTTTTGCAGCGGGAAGCCGTCCAACATTGGGTTTTGCGTGGGAGGCGAAGGTTGTGAAATTGGGTGGTGCGTTGGAGGCGGAGGCTGGTGAGTACTGGGTGCGGCGTTGAATGGGGCAAAGGGGCGGGTGGGCGGCGGGCGGGCCGGATGTTGTGTGGAAGGCGGACGTTGGACGTGCGGGCGGCGGGCGGCCGGCTGGCGGCGGGCGGGCGGGCGGGCGGGTGGGCGGCGGCGGGTCGTTGTTGTAATGGAAAATCATACAACAATTGTTTTACATCGGGATGCCGTGCACTAGTTGGTTTTGTGTGGGAGACCGAAGCTTTGGAGTATTGTGTGCCGTTTCGGCGACGGGGGCCAGTGAGTATTCAATATTCACTGGCCCCATTCGACGCCACATCCAATTTGGGTGTGGCGCCGGATGGCGGAAGGGGGGTGGGCGGGCGGCGGGCAGGCGGGCAGGCGGCGGACGGGCGAGTCGGCGGCGGGCGGGTCGGGATTTCAATGGAACTCCTCAAAGGTTTTCTCTTGCAGCGGGATGCCGTTCAGAACTGGGTGTTGTGCGAAAGGCGGGGGCTGTGGAGCACGGGGCGTTGTGATGTTGAAAAGCGAAGGCTGGTGAGCACAGGTCGTAGCTTCGAAAGCTGGAGTTGGGCTGGCGGGCGACGGGCGAGCGGATGAGCGGGCGGGCGTCGGACGGGCGTCGGGAGGGCGGCGGGCGCATCGGGATTCCAATGGTCCCAAAGGTTCTTGCAGCGGGATGCCGTTCAATACTGTGTGTTGTGTGGGGGGCGAAGGCTGCGAGTATTGTGTGATGTCTTTAAGACCAGGGCGGGTGAGTATTGAAGGCGGTCTGGACCAAGCGCATCCCCACCCACATTCTTCAGGGAGCCCTGGACCGAGCCGAGGCGACTCAGAGGAACAAGCTGCACCCATGGGCCGCCGTGGTGTCGAAGGCGAAATTGGTCGGCGGGCGGCGTGCGGGCGGGCGGCGGGCGGGCGAGCGGGATGGTTTCACAGTGTTACTTCACGATCACAAGTGTACGGGTGCCCCATCCAGGGCGACTAGAGGAATCAAATGGTGTTTTGTCACCTCTTCCCGTCCCTCATCTTCCATCCTTCGTCAAATACCCTCGCCCCCCTGCCTATCTCAGCATCCATCCTTCATTCCTCCTCCCGCTCGTGCCCCATCAGTGGCATAAGCGTTAACATCATCGTCATCCGTATTAGTCCTCCTACATATCTTTCCCTTCCTCCGAATTCCGTCGTTCTTACATTGACAGTGCCTCCAATCTCTCAGACTTCCCACTTCTCACCCCATGTCTCATCACTCTCTATTGACCGCCCCCTCTACTATGTTACGTACTTCAATTATCACCGTCGCCGCCCCCCCAATCCCCCATGCAACAGTATTCATGTCTGCCTACAGTTGGCACGCACTATCGTACTTTCCGTTCGAAACAATTCTTGGGCGCACGATTCGTCGATATTTGGAAGTCCGGAGGTGTGCCAGAGTTTCTCCAGGTCCATGGGGCCACCAGGGGAGGAAAAATGCATTTGGGGCATTCGCTTGCAGGCCGAAGTCTTATCACATGTGCACGCTTACGGTTTCCTTCTCTGTCCACACTATCATAATGCCCCCCCTTCCCACATCCTCCCTCATCCCCGCACTCTTTCCTTCTTTTCCTCCTGGCGCCTGCTTGCTGCCTCCCCCGTCATGGGCCGTGGCGGTCCAGATCCAGGCGAGGGCTCCGCCCAGCGATCCCACTTCCGTGCGCTGGTCCAGTGCAGCTGTACAATCGTGCATATCCGAGACCATCCAGAGGGAGAGATCCTGGACGAGTTCACCGCAGCCTCTGCAGACCCACTCATAGCAGCTCATTGGTTTTAGCATAAAATGGCTACCCTGGTTTAGTCGCCCTTCTCCCGAGGGTCTCAACATCGCCTCCTGGAGCACTCGAGCTCTTCATGGTCGTTTCGACACCCTGCGCCAGGACAGACGTCGTGCCGACACCGCGGCGGCCCAGCGCCATTAGCACGGGCCCGTCTGGCAACATCTTCAAGGAGATGGTGGGGGCCACGACGCTCTCGACCACCCGCAGGAAGGTCGCCGCTATGGCGGAGTCAACGGTTGATCGCTGCTTCATCTCCGTTCCTGCTCACGCGATGCCCACCAATCACGGAGCCGGCTCTTGCGGTTGATGACGCGCCCGCGGGATCAGGCCAAGGCGTGATCAGTGACCGCGAGATCGCGCATCTCAAGGTCTACCCCCGTCGCCAGCGCCCACAGACCGATCGTGCTATAACAGCGTTTATCTTCGACTCGCAGCGCTACCAACATCGCGTTCAGCAGCTCCTCAGCGAGACCGACGCGACCATCGTGATCGCCGCCGCCGAGTGGAGGGCGCTGAAGGCCACCATGACGGAGGCTGCCAAGCGGGCGCGGGACACCACGCTAACGATCCCCAATGCCGAGCCCGCCAGCCAGTCGCCACCTATCTCATAGGAGATGCGCGCCATGATGTGAGGAGTATCGCGAGGGCGACACGCTACCAAGACGCGCGCTTTGCCAATCATATGATCAGCAAGACAGAGCCTGCAGCCAAGCATATGCGATCACAGGCGGGCAAGGTCACCCCATTGACCCGAACGGCATCAATAACGAGGCGGGCACATTTCATGCCGCGCATGTTGAAGAGCGAAAGGCCAAGGCCGCCGCGCGACCCAGGGCTGCCAATGCTGAGAACCACGTACAACTGGGCAACTGCTGGCGCCAGCGCGCCCGCCACGAGATCGCAGGGCCGATCTGTAGAAGCCGTTATCGAAGCGCCTCGTTCTGGCAGGCATCAAGATCGCCGCTGGCACACGCAGCACCGTTGGCACTGACCCTGCTGCGACGCACGCGGCCATCATTCACCCTTGGGAACCATCTTCGAAGCCAAACGGGTGGGCGAGCAGGCGATCGCCGACCACTTGAACTGTGACGCGCGACCCACCTGGTCCAGACGCGGCAAGCATTGAGCAGGCCGCCGAGTATTCGAACGACTCGGCCCAATGGCGTCATCGACTTCCATATCGAGCTCAGCTACGTGTCCCGACCAGATTCGAGGTGCTCTCCGAGCTCGCGCACGACGTCGCAAGTTCCTCCGCGCCGTCACCTCCCGACGGCCTCAACTTCTCTCGCAGCGATGCCCCCCAAACGAGATGCGCCGCTAGGCGGCGCAGAGTGCGCTCGCGCGCCCGACTGCCATCGTCCGCCATCGATGACGAGCGCGGATGCGCGAAGCTCCCGGCGGCGGCCGCCAATCGGATGCTCCGCCCCGTCGTGGCCGACGCGGCCCCCGAGCAGCTGGGCTTCGCCAATGGCCGCCAGTTCCTCCACATTGCCAACAAAGGTAGACACTGGAGATCGCCGACGCAGCGCGTCGCCGACCTTCGGCGAAGACCAGCCAGTTGTCATCAGCGTGGACCTCGCTGCAGATTTCCCAAGACTGGGACATCAGTGGCTGCGGCCCGTATTGCAGCGCTGGGGCACCGGCGGGTGCGCGTTGAAGCCCTTGCGCGCGCGCCTCTGCATGGCGCTCGCCTTTCGCGAGCTCGGAGGCGCGCCGCGCGCGAATCCCATTGCTGTCTCTTTTGGGGCTCCGCAGGGCTGCCCCCTTCAGCGGCGCGATCTGGGCGCTGGTCCTCGACCCCTTCGCCGGAGCGATCAGCGGCGGACTCAGGTGCATCCTGCGCGGCCTCGCGAGCGCATGCGCCGACGACCTTGGCATCGCAATTTCGCGCCCTCAAGACATCTGAAGACTGGCCCCCCGCATCGTCGCCGCCGACATTCTCGCGGGGCTCCAGCTGCAGGCCAGGAAGTGCATCATTGCCCCGACATGGTCGCTGCCGACGCCCAACCTCGCCCTCGAGGTCCGTGACGCGCTAGCGGCGAAGATCCAGGCTATGGCGAACTACTTCTGGTTTTACGCAGGCCCTGGCGCGTCTCTGATCGACCAATGGAAACGGAATATAGTTCTTTCAAAACGACCCCGGCGCCCCCCCCCCCGCTGTCGCTTTTCGCCCCTCCGACGGCGATTGAGACGCGAGCGGCCGCTCGGTCGCAGGTCGCCCGCGCGACGCGATTGGCAATTCAGCGAGAGACAAACGGGGAGGGGAACGGCGCGCCGAAAACGAACAAGAAACAACCGTGCGAAAACAACAGCGGAAACTATGCAAAAACCGTCGACGATGTTGATTTAAACGGAGCCGAAAATTGCGATCGAACGCCCAAGTTCAAAATGGGGGGGGAAAAAAAGACGCCCTGACTGTCTCGAACCAGCATCGACGCGGTGGGAACGCGTCGGGAAGCTCGCCCTGTCGCGCGCCACGGTCCAGCAGGGTGTCAAGATCTACAACGTTGCTGCAGTCGCCTGCCTCTCGCATGTTGGACAGCTGTGCGAGACTCCGCCCTGTCTGCTAGCGAAGGAGCTGCAGGCGACCCACGAGCTCTTGCGCGCCGCCCCGAACTGTTTCGCCAAGTCACACATCCAGCCGATACTGCCCTGGACCAACGCCGAGACCCCGACCGGCGTCGAGGCGCCCCCGGCTTCCGCGATGTTGCGCGCTTTGCCGTCGCTGTCAAGCGCCGTCACTGCGCGCGCGCGAGTCTCTGCGACGCGGGCCGCGAGGGGGCTTCTATGGCCGGCGCCGCGGCAGGGCGCTGGCGCGCAAAATGCTGGAAGGGCCCCGCGTCGATTGCGCGGCGCTGCTTCGGCGTCGCGAACACCTTCTCCGCGGAGGGCAAGGGCTCGATCTCAAACAGGGCGACGCGGATTGCCATCGCCCGCGCGCGCGGGGGAGGCACTCTACAAGAAGCCCGCGTGCGCGCCGCGCGCCAGGGGATTCAGGCCACGCTGGGCAATAACTCGAGGACGACGGACACGACGAAGAAGCGCGCGCCCCAGATGGCGCACCTGATGGCGCTGCAGGAGAAGGTCTACCCGGACACGATGCACATCACCATTCGTCGTCGCCTCATTGCATGGTTCCCCGGGCGGTCGTGCAACCGGCTCGCCGGGCGGCCTGTTGGCCCTGCTCGCGCTCGTGTTGAGGAGTTCCCAGGCCGCCTGCGACGCCGCGCAGTTGCCTGGGCGGCCCGCTGGCTCCCTGGCCTCCTCGGTATTCGTGGCTACCACAGCGAACAGGACTGGCTCGACTGGTTCGAGAAGTGCAGAGGCATGGTTCCGGAGTCCTCTGGCGAGACAATCTTCAACCGCTGCACGACGCACCGTTGCGACGGCGCCGCCTGGCACATGGCGCGCGCACGCAGGCATGGGATTCGGGCGCCGTCGGACCCCGCCTTCGCGAGCTCTCGCTGCTGCGCAACGTCGGACCGCTCCAAGAAGACATCCAAGCGCAAGTCGAACGACGTGCAGAGCTTGCAGCTGATCATCGCGCGCGGCCTCGCCTTGTTGCGCAGCACCTCCCCGCCCTGCCCGTGGAGGAGGGCTCCGACGACAACGTGGGCACCGCGGACAGCGACATTGACTTCGTTTGTGTTCGACGGGCCGTCCGTTGATCGACATGCCTTCTGGATGAAGCTGCGCGTGCATATTGCCACCCTCTCGCCAGCGCGGACCTGGGCTCGTTTGAAGACGTTGGCGGTCGCGTGGGTGACCTCACTCCGCATGCGCATCCTCGCCACGAAGCGCAGCTGTCACCTCGGCTGCGACGCGAAGGACAGCATGAACCACTACCTCACCTGCCCGAGGATGCTGCACAACATGGCGCGGCCCCGCGGTGCCATATCCGTCTTGCTCCTGGATCGGCTCGGACTCGGGGATGACCAGAATTTCGAGGGCGAGAACGGCACCATCAACGCCATGGCGAGGCTCGCTGTGGCATGCGGAGCTACATGCGGCTCCTGAGCTACCAGGAGGACTGCAACGCGTTCGGGGCTGCCCGCCGCGCCCTGAGGTTGCCGGCTGGTGCCATTGGCGGTGTAGGCGCGCGCGCGCGCGGCAGGCCTCATCCTTCCCCAGCACGACCTACACGAGCGCCTCGTGCGCGGTGTTTGCTGCACCGCCCGCGGGTCGCCACGCGCGTCTGCCTCGCGTGAGGGCTCTCCCCCGCTCGGCGGCAAGACAGGACCGCGCCCCCCCGCGGCGACGTTCGCTATTTCTCGTCGTCCTCCTCCTGCTCCTTCTCCTCCTTCTCCTCCTCCTCCTCCTCCTCCTCCCCCTCTTCCTCCTCCTCCTCCTCCCCATCCCCCCCTCCTCCTCCTCCTCCTCCTCCTCCTCCTCCTCCTCCTCCCCCTCCTCCTCCTCCTCCTCTGCCTGCTCCACTATCATCCTCCTCCGCCTCCTCACTTCCTCTTCCACCTGTTATTGGTTTTCCTCCCACTCCCCCCGCGTCCGAGTATTCTCCTGCGCCCGCTTATTCTTTTGCGCCTGCTCAACTTCAGCATCTCCCACCCCATCCGACGGCCATGTCACCGACGCGCGCCTCAGGACCTCGCAGATCGAATGTCACTGCAGGCCCCTGGGGGGGGGGGGAGGGGGCGCAAGCAAACCGGCCGGCCGAATGGCCGCGAAGAAGGGGGGGCCTCACACCCTCGCTCACTTGTCAGGGCGAAGGGGCACTTCGCGCCGTGATCACATCACGACGGACGGTATCCGACGGGCCCGAGGCCCGAGGGCCATCGCACAGCGACCCGGGATGAGAAGCCAGTCGCAGGGAAGGGGTCGACACCTCGGGGGGTCGACGCCGCGGCCCCCCCCCCAAGTTGCGACGTCAGGGTTTTGGGGGCGGGGCCAGGGGAAAGGGCAGGCGGATAACAAAAAAAGGGAAAGGCCCTGTGAAGGGCGAAAAATCACAGATTCCATTCGTCGTCCTCCTCCCCCGCTCGCGGCTCGGCTGGTCTGTGGGGGGGATTTCAGCGGGCAGGCCACTTCAGTGGTGAGAGAATCTACTTCGGACCCCAGGCTTCTTGGCACGCTGCACAGGTACGCCCCTCAGGGTCCAGGGATGGCGGCGAGCACCAGGGCGTGGCGCGGGGAGGGGGTCCTGAGGAGGCGGGGAGGGCTCTTGGATGGCGGCGGGCTTCCCAGAGGGCCACCCCCCTCGCACCTTCTCCGCGTGCGCGCGTCGAAGGTGGGAGCTCGGAGATTGCTCGCCCAGGCAGATGGCAGTCGTGACCGTCGTCGTCGTGGTCCTGATCGTCGTCGTCGTAGCCGCGGTCGCGGACGTCGTCGTCGTTGTCGTCGTCGTCGTCGTGGTCGTCGTCCTCGTGTTCTTCACCGCGGCAGATCACACTCCGAGACCCTGTAGCACCTCAGGCACGGGGAGGCATGGCCTGCATTGCGGGCTGTTTGCGCAGATTTTGGGGCATCTCATGCACTTCGAGCCCCTGCAGGACTCATTGACATCCGCCGATGTGTTTTTGTTCAACCCCTCGACCCCAGAGGTCCCGACCATTTCCCAGGAGCAGTTTGTCGTCCCAGATCAGTTTCGGATGTTCGCAAGAAAGCATGGGGATTGCAACAGTCCTATCGCCGGAGGTTTGGGCTCATCCTTGTCAAATCTGCACGTTGGTGGGACCGCGAGGGTCTCCAGTTGCTCTTGGACATACCGGCGCACGTGGAAGAATTTAGTACATGTTGGGCGTACAGGCCAGTGTATAATCATTGAGCCTCCTGTCAGGTCAAGAGCAATACAGTTTTCGTAGGCAAAGAGGCGTCGAAAGAGATAGTCCGAGCTATTGGAGGCTGCCCTCTCAGGAAAGAGAAGGCGGGGCCAGGTGCTGCACTTCGAGTCCCTGCAGCAGCTCGAGAGCGGTCGCCTCCTGCAGACCGCGTGCGGGCTGGTGCTGCGCGACGCGCCGCAGCGCCCGGACCCGCTCCCCCTCCGGCCCGGATCGAAACGATCGAATGGGAACGTCAAGAATGACGGGCCCATTCGATCGAAACGATCGAAACGATCGAATGGCCCGACAGCAGTTCCTCTTCATTTTGAACGGGACTCGCTGTCGGTGTCGCCGCAGACGTTTACCTTCTGAGACAGACGGCTGCCTGCCCAACAGCAGCCGCTGTTGAGTTTGGACAGCATTTCCTGCTGGGCATTGTTCACATTTGGTCCGTACCCGTTTCGGCGCCCAAACAGGATGAGGACGGAGGGCTGATCCTCATCACCTCTCCTCCTCACATGGAGCGCTCCAGAAAGGGCTTCGCCTTCGAGGACGGAAGGCAGCCGAAGGCTGGCGGAGGTAAAACTAGGCGACCCAAATCGGCGGAAGTAAAGGCTGGCCCTCCAAGAGATGTCAACAGTTTTGGGATTCAGGGTCTTCGGAACCCTCCTTTTATTTAATCGCTTCGCTCATTCCGCCGGCCCATAATGTCGCACCGTGGTCGCCTTCGCCTGTCCGAGTGGGCGTTTGCAGTGTGGAGCTGTGGCGTCGGGAGCTGTGTAGTTGTCGATAAGTTTGTTGTTGTTTTTTCATGGGGCTTCTAGGTGTTTGCAGTTTTTTGACGGCTTTGGTGCCATCGTGGGGGCGTGTTACCCGTGGTATCCCGCTGTGGGGCCCTTCGAGCCGGGGGAAGAGACCTCCTGGGGATCTTGGAGGCTTCTTGGGTCATCTTGGAGACGTCTTGGGCCGTCCCGAGGCCATCTTGGGCGCCGTGGAGCGATCTTCGGGCGTCTCGGACCTCTCTTGGACCGTGTTGGGGGCGTTCTTGGGGCCCTCTTGGGCCGTCCTGGAGGCCTCTGGGGCCGTCTTTGAGCCGTCTTGGGCCGTCTTGGGGCCCTTGTGGGGGCCTCTTGGGCTCTCTTGGGGCGATCTTGGAGGCCTCTTGAGCCGTTTAGGGGCGTCGGGGAACCGAAAATGTTAAAACGCCCAAATCTGTCCAAAACCATGGAAAAGCACAGTTTTTTGCCTCTTGGGGCCCTCTTGGGAGTTCTCTTGGAGGCCTCTTGGGGCATCTTGGAGGCTTCTTGGGCCATCTTGGAGACGTCTTGGGCCGTCCCGAGGCCATCTTGGGCGCCGTGGAGCGATCTTCGGGCGTCTCGGACCTCTCTTGGACCGTGTTGGGGGCGTTCTTGGGGCCCTCTTGGGCCGTCTTGGAGGCCTCTGGGGCCGTCTTGGAGCCGTCTTGGGCCGTCTTGGGGCCCTTTTGAGGGCCTCTTGGGCCCTCTTGGGGCGATCTTGGAGGCCTCTTGAGCCGTTTAGGGGCGTCGGGGAACCGAAAAGGTTGAAACGCCCAAATCCGTCCAAAACCTAAGAAAAAGCATTGATTTTTGCCTCTTGGGGCCCTCTTGGGAGTGCTCCTGGAGGCCTCTTGGGGCATCTTGGAGGCTTCTTGGGTCATCTTGGAGACGTCTTGGGCCGTCTGGAGGCCATCTTGGGCGCCGTGGAGCGATCTTCGGGCCCTCTTGGGGCGATCCTGGAGGATCTGGGGGAGTGTCCCGGGCGTGTCTCGGGCGTGTCCCAGGCGTGTCCCGGGCTCCTCTCGGGGTAGTTTTGATCCAGGGACCCCCAGGGGCCGCCCCGCGCGCGCGAACCAGAAATACTGTTTACCAGTTACCGGAGATCTTAGCACGCCTCTGGCCCGTTGGGCCGGCGAATTATCCCTCTCCTTCTCCTCCTCCCAGCAGCCCTGTGGCCCACGAGGTGCTCGCAGCCGCAGGTCCTAGACCATCTTGCAGAGCTCCGAAAGAACACGCATCCCTCATCTTCCCGTCTGTCCGATCATCAATGTGTTCCTCCTCATCATTTCTCTCCTTCTCCTCTTCATTCCTCCTTCATTTCCCTTCCTCCAGTCTAATCCGCAGCCCCCGGCACGCACCTGGCTTTGAGGTGCCTGTCCACTGGGGCTAGGCGGGTCAAAGTTGACCTCGCGCCCCGGGCGGAGGAGGAGAGGGGAAGGCGGAAACGTGACAACAGAAAGCCGCAGCGTAAGAAGCATGCAGCCCGGAACCTCCTCTTCTGGCTCCTCCTCCTGCTCATCACCCTGCTCCTCCCTCCTCCGTTCTCAGGTGGCTCGCATCGTGGCCATTCTGTTGGCACCCGGCGCTCCGCGCCCCCGGGCCGCGTGTCCGACCGCGGGCGGCGGTGGTGTCTCCATACGCGCACCTCGTACACGATGCTGTTTGTTGGACACATGCTGTTGCGGTTTCCTTTGAGGGTGTTCACTGTTCGGTCGGTTCGGTTGCGTCACAATCGGTTGCGTTCGGTCGGCACGGTTCAGTCGGCCATTGTGTCGTTGTTGCGTCGCTGCGCCGCCTGTCCATTTCGGTCGGTTTCGGTTTCTTTGTCGGTTCGGTCGGTTTTCGGTTTTGCTATCGCTTTGCACGGCCTTGTCCTTCATGGAAGCCTCACAGGGTCCCAAGATATCTTGCGGTTTGGAGGAGTTCGTCGGGTTTGGTCGACATCCGGACGAAATCTGGATGAAAGGATGAAGAGGGGTGGTCGTAATCTGGACGGAATGCAGTCGAGCTCACGTTTAAGGTAGGGCTGCGGAGGTCCACAGAGGCTCCCACGAATGCTCACCCTGATATTTGTTTTTCCTTTATCCCTCGTCGCACTGGCATTCCGAGCGGCAGCTTTTACACACCGCGCGACGCGGGCGCACGGGGGCCAGCCGGCCGTTGTTCGAAGAGGACGCGCCTGAATTGTCCAGCGCCTTGCCGAGAACGAACCGCCATCGGCTGGCTTGGCTTCTCCTCTGCCTCCTCCTGTTCCTTTATCCCAGCGGGCCGGGGCCAGCGCACTTGGCATCGCTCGGACGTGTGCATGTTTCCTTCGGCGAAGACAATCTAGGAGCATCCTTGATCATTTGGCGAAAAAGCCACGCACGAAACTGAAAAAAAAACACAGGGCATGGACGTCCGAGCGATGGCCACCTCATGCCACGAGCACAAGTTTCTGTTTTCAGCCGTCAGCCTTTGTTGCCCCAAGGCAGCAACACAGCCCACCACGCGCTATCGTACGCCCCCGTGTTTGGTTTGCCGCCCTCGCTGAGCCGCCATCGTCCTGCAGATTTGGAACGGCATCTGAATTGTCATCGCAGCCAATGCCCAAAGTTAGGCATGACATGTTGGGGCGGGTCATTCCCTCCGCCCTTTCCTGAAACATTATTTCTCCATCAAAGGCTTGTCCTCTTTGGGAAAGGTCATCGGGCCGTGGGCGGAGACTGAAGGATGCCATGTCATGCCCCGACGCCCTGATCATGCGCATCACCCTTGTGTGTTGCGAACGTTTGCAACAGCAGGAGGGGCATCGGTGATGTGGGGGGAAGCTGGAGGGATAAGGCATGGCTCCTGCAAGGCAGGGCCATGATAGCATGCTGTTAACACTGCTGTTTTACATGTATGTACACATGGTGTACACATATACACATTCACATGCGTTAGTCAGTGCTGACCCTAAGCAGTGTGTTCTAACAGGCTTTGTGGCGCAGTATATGTGGTGCACTCTACGTTGAGCTATATCAGTGGTGCAAGCCACGTTGTGCAAAACATGCTAAGCGATTGAGTTGGCGCAGTAGATGTTGAGCCATATACGTGGTGTAACCTATTTAGTGTAAACTATTCCGCCGCCCATGCGGCGCAATGTATGTGATTCCTGCTGCGTGGTGCAATCCATGTTCAGTAGCATATCAGATGTAAACTATGTTTTGCCATCTAGATGGTGCAACATGTGTTCTGAAACCTACTAGATTCAACCGATGTGGTTTTAACAAACGAGTTGACACATCCCATGCTTCTTGCAATCATCCCACCCACCCACCTGCTATCTGGTTTGCAATATCCATGCGGTGGCGATTGCGATGCATGTTTGGCGTTTGCTGGTGCATCTTTGCGGCCGCGCCAACCCAAGCACGCGCGCACAACGGCCAGCTAGTTTGGCGCGACCGACGCGGCCGCGGTGGCGCTGACCGCTGGGCGCATCCCAGCGGGCACTTCACTGCGAGCCGGCGACCTGGGCAGGCGCGGTACCATGGCAACGTCGACAAGGGTCATCATGCTGATGCTTGTAGCGATGTTGGTGACGATGTTGACAACGACGAAGGCGCGGCCAGTGCGGGCGCCGATGCTGATCACGATTGCGACGATGACGGCGCTTTCGCATCGGTGATGGAAGTTTTGGAAAGAGTTCGACATGCGCGCGCGGCCGACGCGCGAGAGTGGCCCGCATGGTATTATTCGACACGGATCGCCCCCCCCCCCCCCCCCCCCCAGCACGCGCGCAAGGGCGCGCGAATGATGTCGGCATGCGGCGCGAAAGGACCGCTTTGCAGAATTCCATGAGCGCGTTGAAAATCAATGTTTTTTTGTGCAGACGTTCGCAAGACCGCGACCGCACACGTTCTTGATAACTGGTGTTGCGAAAACACGTGGTGTTGTATATGTGTTGGGCACTCGGTTTTGAAACCGCTACGAAACCGAAGGTTGTTTGACGGATTTCGGCATGCGCGCGAGACGGCGCGCGCGCAGTTCGCCCCATCGTTTGCAAAGGATTCTCGCGATTGCACGCGCGCCAGAGCTTTCGAACGATCTCGACACGCACGGGCGCGAAGCCCGTTTGGTAGCAGTTTCTGGATTTGCGGAGAACAACCATTTGTGTTCTCCAGATGTTGCAAAAGTTCGCTCGCAAGTTTTGTTTGAACAGGTGTGTTGCGAAACCTGGTGCTTCTTAAAATGAGTTTCCCCACCTGTTTCGTGGGGCTATGGTTTTCTTCCCTGCCGCCGCGTCGCACCCGCGTCTCACTCCTCCCTCCCCGCCGCCGCGTGTTCTTTGCATCATACACCCATGCACAACACAGTTGGCACCCAACGTATACACATCGACACCAGAGAGGCTGCGCAGGGGATGGTTTCCGAGCTAGGCCGCTATGCGCGCTTCTCGTCCAGGGCAGAGCCGGCGTAGCATTTTGTCGACACCAGGGAGGGTTCGCAGGGGGTGGTGCCTGAACTCGGCCGCTATGCGCGCCTCCTGTCCAGGACGTAGCAGGCGTGGCATTTTCTCGACACCGCAGAGGGTGCGCACGGGATGGTTCCCGAGCTCGGCCGTTACGCGCGCTTCTCGTCCAGGGCATCGCAGGCGTGGCAACTTCTCGACACCAGAGCACCAGAGGGGGTGCGCAGGGGGAGGTTCCTGAGCGTGGCCGCTACGCGCTGCTGTCGCCTAGGGCATATCAGGCGCGGCATGCTGTCGACATCAGAGGGGGTGCGTAGGGGGCAGGTTCCTGAACTCGGCCGCTACGCGCGCCTCAGGGCATAGCAGGCGTGGGACTTTCTCGACACCACAGGGGGTGGTCACTGAGCGCGGCATCGACTATTCGTTCGACGTGGAAGGTCCAGCCAGCTGGTGGGGTCAAAGCGGCGTTTAACCAGTAACGCCCAGGCTATTGCCCTTCCTGGATCCCTTCAGGGCACTCAGGCTCCCAAACCACCTGCATCATTCTCGATGTGGTTTTTTTCGGTAGCGTTTTGAAATCTTGAAAGGATTTCGGCATGCGCGCGAGCGATGACAGGCGCGCGCGCGCACATCGTCACATTAGTTGCAAAGGATTGTTGGACATTTATGCTTTTTCATAGACGAGTGCGCACGCATAGCATTTGTTGCAGAGGATGGCGGGGTGGGCGATACCAGTTGGGCTGGGAAGGTATGAGTTCATATTATTGAGGATGGGCGATGGGGCTGATCCATGTGTAATCTGCAATGCGGAAAAGGGGGGGCATTTAATGCTCGCCGCGATAATCCGGCGGGGGGTAGCGTCTATTCTCTTCATAGAAAAGGAGAGTACACGTGGTGCAACGCAGGCAATGCAATACATTTGTGGTGCAGCCTACATGGTACAATGTATGGGGAACAGTAGATGAGATGCAAGCTATGTGGTGCAACGTTGGCTACACGACCTAGATGGTGAAATCTAAGTTGGGTGATCGACGAGGCTCGCACAATCAAACTTGCGGCGCGATCTACCTAGTGCAATCTACGTGGTGAAATACTGTTTGTGATACCTGTGTGGTGCAACCTACGTAGTGCAATATGTGTCGTGCAACCTATGTGGCGCCATCTACGTGGTGCAAGTCACCCTGCCGAACTTGAAAGTGTCAACCCCTTTGCTCGCGCAGTCATCCCACCCACCCAACCGCAACTTGGTTTGCAAAACTCATGCGGCGGCGACAGCGATAATTGCTCGGCGCTGGCTGGCGCATCGCCGCGGCCGCGCTGGCGCGCATGCTCGCGCGCACAGCTGCCAGCTGGTTTAGCCCGACCGACGCGGCCACAGGGGCATTGAGCGCTGGGCAGATCCCAGCGGGCACTTCAGTGCGAGTCGGCGACCTGGGCGGGTCCAGTACAATAGTAACGCCGACCATGGCAGACGCGATGATGACAGTAGCGATGGTAGTGGCGATGATGACTACGACGACGGCGCGGCCAGTGACGGCGCCGATGTTGATCACGCCGACGGCAATGACGGCGGTCTCGCGTTCTCGTGAGATATGGTCGTATACTATATATATATTGTATGTATACATCTATGAACACATATATCTATATATATATATATATATACGTGCGTGCGTGTATACACCTATATACACGCACGTTGGAATCTGGCTACATCCGCCACCGTGAGAAGGTTGTGGACAAGAGGCCTCCCACATGTCTCTGGTGGTCTCCTGGCACGCACATCGGGGTGGGCCTCTGAAAAGGCCCCGTCGTACAATTAGGAGGCGCATTGGAGGCCGACGGGGGCGTTTTGGGGGCATCGTGGTGGGGCCATCCTTGAGGCCTCTTGGGTTGTCTCTGGGCGGTGTCGGGGCCGTCTTGGAGCCCTCTGAGGGGATCTCCAGAGCACTATAGACGGGCGTCTTGCCCTGAAATGCGAAATGGCGAAAACCCACCCAACAAATCAAAGCCCACTGTCAGAAATGAATTGTTCTCTCCTCGTCGGCCTCGTAACCAATAAGTCCATCCCCCCATCCCTCCTGTGGAGATGCTCGGCTTGGCTGCCGCCGCCGTCAGAGGACGCTCTGCACCTGCTCGGCCGCGGGGTCTCCCGCCACGCGACCGTGGCCTGAGGTGCCACGCCCGCCGCCGTGCGCGCCTGCTTGTTCCACCCAGAGTTAGAGAGAGAGAGGGAAGAGAGAGAGAGAGAGAGTGAGAGAAAGAAAGCAAACCAACAAAAACAAAACAACTAAACCACAAAACGAAAGAGAGACCGAGCTGGAGCGAGAGGGAGAAAATAGAGAATAGGGAGAGGGAGGAGAAAGATAAGCACGAGGGGGGAGGAGGAGAGGCAGGGCGAGGAAGAGAGCGGGAGGAGGGAGCGAGGCGCAGGAGGCGCGACTAGGAGCGGCGGCAGGAGCAGTGGGCGAGGAGGACAAAAAGCCGAGCCCTCCCGGCGCGCTCGCTCTCGCTGCCGCTCGCGTGCGGGCCGCCTCTCAGGTGGGTCGCGGGGTGGGTCGCAGGTGGGTCGCAAGGTGGGTCGCGGGGTGGGTCGCGGGTGGGTCGCGGGTGGGTCGCGGGTTGGGTCGCGGGTGGGTCGCGGATGGGTCGTGGGGTGGGTCGCGGGGTAGAATCCTCAGCACGGATACCCATTTCAGCCACGCACCCAGTGACAATGCATGACCGATCGCCCCCCTCACTCAGATCAAAGTGAAGGGCCGAACGGTCATTCACTGTCCCTGGGTGCGTGGCTGAGATGGGGTTCCGCTGTGCGGGCTGTTGTTGCGTTGTCATTGTTGTTTGTTGTCGTCGTCCCACTCGCGACCCACCAGCGACCCACCCGCGACCCACCCGCAACCCACCCCGCGACGCACCCGGCGCTGGGCCCCTCAGTCTTATCTGCAATGGCGCGGTGCTACGTTCTAAAGCTTGCCCGCGCTGCGTGGAGGTCCCCGAAGGTCTCTGGGTGCCTCTGGAGGCCCAGCGACGGCAAGAAGCGGTGGATGACCTCCCTAATCCGGCCTAATCCCATTCGGTTTTGGGCCTAATTTGGCCTCATCTTGCGAAGTATTGTTTGACTGCTTTGGGTCGTTCTGACGAAGACCTCCCAGGCGTTGCCTCCAAAGATGGGGTCGGAGAATCGCGCCGCATCACCGATGCATCGGCGATGCGGCTCGATGTGGAGCCCGAATTTCTCCACGCCGACGGCGCTGGTGCATCACCGGCGTCGCCGATGCGTCGCCGATGCGTTGGCGATGCATCGGCGATGCGGCCCGATCTTCCCACCCCATCCGCTCGGACCCCATCTAGGTGGCCTCCAAACAGACGGTCGGTTGGCTCAGCGTGTCTCTCAGCCGGTTCTGGCCCACCTCGCTTCGGCGCGACACGCTCCGAGCGTCAGCGTCCCGAGCCTCGCCGAGCCTCCCGCCCCGCGGAGCGGAGCGACGCGCTGTCAGCTCGCAGGGCGTAGTCAGCGTGTCGCCCAGGCCGCCGCCGCGACACGCAGCAGTTCCCGACCATACAGTCAAGACGCTGAAATCAGGAACAGTTTGGGTTCGGAAGGGGCTCGATGTCCCTCAGGTTCCTCCAGTGCTGTTCCTCTTGCCCTCCTGGGGCACGGAGGCGCTCACAGGGCCAAGAAGGGACTTTCGTATCACAGTGGACTGTTTCACTTCAGGCGTGCATCGAAGACTTGCTTTGAGCGTAAAAAAAAGAAGGGGCTTCGTTCCTTCTTTAGCGTTCCTTCTTCCAGCGGCCCGACCACACACGTGCGCGCGGGAAGGAGCTCCCGAGGTCGGCTGCTCCGGGGGTCCTAGTCCTGTGGCGAGGGTCGGCGCAGGCTCCCCCACGGATCGCCGTGTCCGGCGTCCCGACGCCGACGTATCTCAGGAGGGAAACAAGCACACAGACACAAAGAATCGTCGACTCCCCAGAGAATATGGGAAAATTTGCGAAGTGAGGGGGAAGCAAAAATGTAGAAAATAAAGGAAATGTAGAACATCTCCTTATGTGTGTATATTTATTTGTGTGTCCCAGGGCCCCTTCAGTATCCTCGGCCGCTTCGGAGCCCTGCCATTGAGCCTGTCGGGGCGGTGGGAACGGACCTCTGCGGGCCGGGCTGGGAAGCATCCACACTCAGACCGACGAGTCGGCGTTTGTTCGAGCCGCTGGACCTTCCGTTCTCTCTGGCCCCAGCCCCTGGGGCCAGCCCTGCGTCCCGAGCTGTTTTTTTGTTGACGGCCCTGGGACCCGGAAGTGGCCCCCGACGTCGGAAATGAGTGACCGAGCAATTACTTTGGGTGGAGGGCAAAAGGTGAAATCTGAACTGCCGTTTCGATTGATTTTCGAGGATTGAATCTGCAAAAGATGAATCACAAGACGGATGGATTTTTCGAGGTGCAAGAGTCCTTATGGATTTTACCCTGAGCCCTCCACCCTAAGAAAATTGAGTCGCCAGAGGCACGTCAAACACCAAGCGGTGCGTGGAAGGAGCTGGGCATATGCAGGGAAGATAGCACCTGCAGCTACATTACATTGCGTACAGTAGGTTCGAACTTTTCACTGAGAATGCCGCGACGACTTGCTGCCATGCCAGGGCCAGTTCGCTGAACCTTGACAGACCAGGACATTGGGACACCCTAGACAACACGCCAGAGGACGCTTGGGCGAGGATCTACGACCACCGTCTCTCTGGGGCCTGGGACAGACTGGCAGCAGTTCTAGATGCGGATGCGGTCTGGAACTTTTGGATAGCGTGTCGCTCCGCTGGTTCTGGCCCACCGCGCTTCGGTGCCACGCACCATTCACTCCCCTGTCCCGAGGCGTCTGGAAGAGCACTGCGCAAGAGTACAGACACTGCTTCTTAGATGATGATGATGATGATGATGATGATGATGATGATGATGATGATGATGATGCTGATGATGATGATGATGCTGATGATGTTGATGATGATGATGATGATGATGCTGATGATGCTGATGATGCTGATGATGATGATGATGATGATGTGATGGTGATGGTGATGGTGATGGTGATGGTGATGGTGATGGTGATGGTGATGGTGATGGTGATGGTGACGGTGTTGATGATGCTGATGATGATGATGATGATGGTGGTGATGCTGATGATGATAACGATGATGGTGGTGATGATGATGATGATGACGATGATGATGATGATGATGATTATGCTGCGGATGATGATGATGATGATGATTATGATGATGATGATGATGATGATGATGATGATGATGCTGATGATGCTGATGATGATGATGATGATGATGATGACGATGATGATGATGATGATGATGATGATGATGATGATGATGATGATGATGATGATTATGCTGATGATGATGCTGCTGATGATGATGCTGATGATGATGATGATGATGATGATGATGATGATGATGATGATGATGATGATGATGATGATGATGATGATGATGATACCCCCAGGCGTCAACGTCCCCAGCCTTCCCCGATCTTCCCGCCCATCGGAGCGGAGCGATATGCTTTACGCTTCAAGGCATCATATCGTGCGCCGGGGCCGCTGCGGCGAAACGCTATGCAAACGCTCCCGGCCGTATCTCCGGGGGGCTCCAAGCTCAGCTGCTGCCAGGGGCGGCGGGGGAGGGGGGCGCTGGCGGGAGCTCAGCAGCGGCCGGCGGGAGACGACAGCACGACCCCCAGGGCCCCGTGGGACTTCACCAGATCCAGTCGGCGACGGCAAGAAGGGCGTGGTCACGCCAGGGTGTGGTTTGCGATTTGCGTCGGTCGGGGCTTGGGGGGGCACGCCGCCCTCGTCGGGCCTCCTCGGGGCGCGGCGGAGAACTCCGTCGAGGTCCTCGCCCGCCCCTCGAAGGTGCGGGTTGCAAGCCACACCCTCTGCAGGTCACCCCCCCCCTCGGAGTCGCCGACCCAGCGCGGGAGAGCACGATGGTGGGAGAACGCTTCGACCCACGGCGGCAATCTTCTTGGGTGCGCCACTGTCCTGGCGTACCAGTTCCCTACACGTTGTTCATGTCTAAGTAATCGAAAGTTCTTTGATTTTTAGGGGGCCAAGATCCTTCCATTTCTAATTCTTCCATCCTGGGCCTCTTCCTGGCCTCTAGGGGGCCAGGAACAATTAGAAACGAGCACAATCCGAAACGAGCACGATCTGAAATGAACGACGTGTACGCTTCAGGGGCGTCTGCGCCTCAGACGCAAGCCCGCCCACGGGCTCGGTCACGTGCTCAGGCCCCCCGGCGCGTCACGAGGAGATCGGGGCGGCAAGTCTCTCCGTGCGCTTCCCTCTGGGGTTCTGTTGTTCCAGTCTGCTTCAGCTTGGTCACCAGAAAGAATTTCGAGCACCAGAAAGGAGTACCGAAACTCGAGGGTTTTCACATGTCGGGCCCTGGGATGCACTGTTTCCACACTCTTCCGACACTCTGTCGACACTTTCCCCGGTGTTCGAAATCATTTCCAGGATGTGGACCTTAAGTACGATGGGAACAACCGAACTCTGGGGGCGCGCCTTGGCGGCCCCCGGGCCGTCAAAGAGTGGCCCAGGATCCAAAGGAGAAACATAGCGCAAACCTCAATTGTAGCATATGCGACGGCAGATCGCCAGCAGACAAGACGCTTCCACTGGAATGCCGTGCTTTTGTTTCTCCAGATAGTTTGGTTCATAAGCGGCCAGTCTACGGGAACGGGTCGTGCAGCCAGCATGGATTCACAGGCGCATTTCAGCGCACATTTTCAGTACATGAACTGCTACCGTTAGGCACCGCCTTGAGACATGAGACACCACAACTGCGTGGCATGGCCCGCTGTCGAGCGTGAAAAAAAAAAACACACAAACCTCAATTTTCGAAGCTCGTCGCGGAATTCTTGGATCTGCGCTGGGGGCCCCTTGCCGGCGCCTCCGGCGCCGCCCCTGGCGCGCTCCGCGTGCCAAGGAGGGCGGCCCAGCGCGGGTCCAAGGGAGCCGCGCGGACCTCCGACAACTTACGCGTATGCAGTTTTCCCATCATTAAGGGACATGACCGTGCGAGGCCTTGTCTGGAAGAGAGACTAGTAAAAGCAGAGACACATGCAGACCATCTTCCGCGAGGAGCAGCAACGGACGTCGCAGGTTGCGGCGCAGCCGCAGCAGCACGCCTTGGAGAGAAGGATGGAGGAGGAGGAGGAAGAGGAGGAGGAGGCGGAGGAGGACGCGTCGGTCTCGCCTGAAGCTGCCTCGGCCGACGGCGCGGCCCTGTTGCTCTGAGCGCCGCCCCTTGGAGAGCCTCTCCCTCTCTCTCTCGGCGCGCGTAGGCGCACGTGGCGCGCGGCTGAGGGCGAACACCGCCGCGCCGCGCCCTCGCCCCGCTGGTTGCCACCGAGCACCGCCCGTTCCCGCCTCGGAGGGCGGCGCTGTCGGGGCGCGCTTGGGAGGCAGCACCGCTGATTCGCCCAAGGGTTATGCTGTTCCAACCTGCTCCAGCCTCGACCACCAGAAAGAATTTCGAGCACCAGAACAAGAGCACCGAAACTCGAGGGTTTTCACGTGTCGGGCCCTGGGAGGCACTGTTTCGACACTCTTCCGACACTCGTTCGACACTTTCCCCGTTGTTCGAAATTATGTCTGGGATGTGGTCCTTAACTACGATGGGAACAACATAACCCAAGGGGTGGGCGACTCGTGGCGCTAACCTCGCAGATCGGATCCCGAGCAGGAAAGGAGGAGAAAGGAGGAAAGAGAGCCCCAGGTTGTCTTGTGAAGTACATTCCGGATGTTGGTGCGAGTTTCGTTTTTCTTTCGTCGAGACATATGACTCTACAAAGACACGTGGAATTCACAGCGTTTTTTGTTCGCTCGCCGCCTGCGGGTGTCTCATGTTCAGAGATCAGCGGATTTTTCACAGTGGCCCGTCTGCCAGACCAGAGCCATGGGAAGATATGGTTTGCGAGGCGTTTCGGGATGGTTCCCGAGGGGTCTTCCTGAAGGTTGCCGATTGTTTTCGGGGCCCGGGAATCCCGGGCCCCGAAGACATCCAATATCATTTGAGAACCATCCCGAGCCGGGATGTTTCCTATCTGCTGCGCCCCGTCACGGGCGTTCGGGGGATGTTGGAATCACCCGGACGGCCGCCCGAGACCCGAGGATCCTACCAGCTTGAAACATAAATCCTCGACCCTGTGCCTGGCATTCCTCGATGCCAATCCGAAGGGTCCCCTCAGCTTCTGAGGGCACATCCCTCATATTATCATTGCTGTGGGTCTGCCGATCTTTCGAGTACGGGATCGTCTGCAGAATTGATGTGCCCCGGAGTTGTTTGTTCGTTGAATATGCGACAAACGCGTGTAATGTTTGTATATCCACGGAGCATTCCACGCATGTGCCGCAGATCCGACGAGAGAATCACGTTTGGGGTAAACGGGTAGAACAATTTTGTAGTCGATCTCTTGCTCGAGTATTTAGGCTTTAGGGCCAGGGAGCAGTTCGAGGCCGGCCAGCATCGCCCTGAAAGCGGTCGGGGGGGTGCGCTGTCGGAGCACGCTCGGCATCGTCGTCGGCGTCTGCGTCGGCGTCGGCGTCGGCGTCGTCGTCGGCCCCGTCATCGGCCCCGTCGTCGTAGTCGGCGTCGTCGTCTTCGTCGTCATCGTCAGGAGGTGTGTGGGGGGGGAGGCAGTGGCCTCGGTGCCCTTGCTGGGCCTCCCTGGTGTCCCTCCTCGCTGCGGATGGATTTCACGGGACGGAGGAGGAGGGAGGAGGAGGAGGAAGGAGGAGGAGGAGAGGGCCGACAGGCCCTGAGGGGGGGGAGGCTTCGTCCGGACGAACTTTGCAGCCATCATCGGCAGAATTTTGCAGCCATCAGGTGTCAGGTGCCGTGAAGAGGATGAGGGAGGAGGAGGAGGAGGAGGAGGAGGAGGAAAAGGAGGGGAAGGAAGAAAAAGGAAGGAGGAGAACAGGGCGGAGAAGCACAAGGGCCCCCCTGAGTTTCCCCCCACGGCCAGGGAGAAGCACGCAGTCCAGCCGCGTGGCCGCACGTTCGCTCCGCGTCTCCCCAACGGGCGCTCCCACAGAGGGCAAAGAGGCCGGCGACGATTGACAAGAAGCGCTTTCGATCCGCTGCCAGAGGGCTCGTGCGAGTGATCCAGGCCCGATGCAGTCGGGGCGCCTCGTTTTTCCCAACCATCCTGTGGTGCGGGGTCTTCGTTTTGAGGAGACAGCGCCCCGCGTCCCGCCTCTCCTCCTCCTCCTCCTCCTCCTCCTCCTCCTCCTCCTCCTCTCCTCCTCCTCCTCCTCCTCCTCCTCCCTCTCCTCCTCCTCCTCCTCCTCCTCCTCATCATCTTCCTCCTCCTCCTCCTCCTCCTCCTCCTCCTCCTCCTCCTCCTCCTCCTCCTCCTCCTCCTCCTCCTCCATCCTCCCCCACACCGTACCCATTTCGGCTCACCCCTCACACGTTTCGTGGCCCCATAGGGAGCTCCACCGAAGGCCCCAGTGGCAAGCTTCGCATGGCGGCCCCGTCCCATTTCGGCGCACGTTTCATGGCCCCATGGGGGGCGGCCCCGCCCCATTTCGGCGCACCCCTCACACGTTTCGCAGCTCCACCGAAGGCCCCAGTGTCAAAGTTCGCATGGCGGCCCCGCCCCATTTCGGCACACCCCTCACACGTTTCGTGGCCTCAGAGGGAGCTCCACCGAAGGTCCTAGTGGCAGGGTTCGCATGGCGCCACCGCGCCCATTTCGGCACACCCCTCACACGCTTCGTGGCCCCATAGGGAGCCCCACCGAAGGCGGGGCTCACAACTGCGGTCCCCACAATTGCATATGGTTGGGTCCTTCGCGAAGATAATTTTGTGCCCGCAGTGCCCGTGGAGCTCTCCTGCTAGTCGGGTGATCCTAGTGAGGTGCCGTGTGGTCCTGTGGTCGACAACCAGTTTTCCCCTTCGAGGGTTGACATGCCCAGAGCGGCCTATTCGAATACATTTGCTGAAGGCCTGCGTCGTTTCGACCCGGTCGCGCCACCTGAATAATCAAACCTGAAAGTGGAGGAGGGGGAGGAGGAGGAGGGGGAGGAGGAGGAGGAGGAGGAGGAGGAGGAGGAGGAGGAGGAGGAGGAGGAGGAGGAGGAGGAGGAGGAGGAGGAGTGAGCCGCACCTCCCTGCTGCGGCACAGGTCGCCCAGCACGCGCTGCGACGCCCAAATTCCGGCGCAGGTGCCTCAGGCGCGAGCCTCACTGCGGCGCGGGCCTAGCGGCAGTTGCGGTTGGGGAGATGTGCGGCGTGTCGTATTTGCGAGGAGGCGTGAGCCGCACGCCTGGTGCAGAAAGAGGCGCTTCTCGCAGGCCGCCAGCGCGGCAGCAGGGGGGGCTGCGCCAGCGGCCGCACGGGCTTGCGCGCGTGTTTTGTTCGTAGCCGCTCGGAGAGGAACTCTTCCAGCGGAACGCTCACTGGAAAGGGAGGAAGCAGAGAGCCGGGCAGCGCCATGGGGGGTCGTCACCAACCTCTCGCGGAAATCTAGGATCGAGGATGCCCTAGATCAGATGTCTTTTTGGGCGTGCTGGGGCGGGGGCGCCTGGCAGGCTCTTGGGTGGTTCAGGGGGGTCGATTCCTGAGGGACCAGGCGACCCCTTTACAGTCAAAGCCCATCGCAAGGAAGCAGTAAGTGAGCAAAGGTACCCTTGCATCCCTGCCTCTTCGGCCAATCCTTTGCAGTGTTCCTCGTGCAGGGGCGTCCAATCTGGAAGGTCTCAGGGCCTTGCATCCTTACTTTGTGCGTCCTTACTGTCGGCGTTACCTGTAGTGGTGACCCCCTGGCACTGCCTGGGACAGGGGAGGAAAGGGGCGGGGACGGCGGCGGGGTGGGAAGGACGGCGAAGTTCGACGAGGAGGAGGAGGAGGAGGAGGAGGAGGAGGAGGCACGTGGATTAGCGACGGGCCCCGCTGCCGTGCGACATCGGCGCGCTCCGACGCCGAATCGGGCGACGTTGGCCTCGAGTTTCGGGGGGCAGAGCCCCTGGTCCGTGGATCTGGCGCCCACGCGACAAGTCCACAGATCCGCAGCCCAGGCCCATGCCAGCGTGCGCCCGAGAAGTACAGCCAAGACGCTGGAATGAGGAAGAGGTCGGGTTGCGAGTGAGCTGGCTGTTCCTCGGGCCAGTCCATGGCTGTTTCTCCAGCTCTCCTATGTTGCGCCCCGTGGCTCTCTGAAAGTTGCGTTCCTTGATGTGCGTTCCTTGTGGTAGCGTCTTGGCTGAAGGTGCGCTCGCGCCACATCTGACACCCTACCCCTCACGCCCATTCCTTCACAGTGCGTTGAGTCCGTCGAGTCCTTTCACTGTGCCGACTAGGGTGTCCCAGAGGACCTTGATCCACAAATGTCAGCTGCAGGATTTGGCCCATCGTTTGTTGCGCAATCAGAGTGTTTAGGAGGAGGAGGAGGCGGCGGATGAGATGGACAAGGGAGACGAGAAGGACAAAGAGGGAAGAGGCTCCCGAGAAAGTACGAGGAGGAACGGGAGGAGCAAGAGAAACAAAGAAAGCCCGTGGAGGAGAAATGAGGGGGACGACGATTACGACGAAGGAGTTGGATCTGGCATTGCAGTCGCGTTTCTGAACGATGGGAGCATGGCAACGACCTTTCGCTGTGGCCTGCGTGGCCAAAACCGAAGAGGAAGCAGGTTTGAAAGCACGCAGAAACTCCGAATGAAACAACACATGAAGTACCGATTCTAAAAGGCAGGTGTGAGAGCAATTCGATAACACAGTATTCAGATCGAGCAAATGTCGATGGGAGGCTTATTGGGAGGGGGTGTGAGAGAGAGAGAGAGAGAGAGAGAGAGAACAAAACAAACAAACAAAAAACACATAAACAAACATAAGACGAAACAGGAGACTGAGGCAGATAGACTGACACCCATCCAGACAGGTAGACAGACATGCAGTCAGAAAACGAGAGAAACAAAGAGAGAGAGAGAGAGAGAGAGACAGAGAAAGAGAGAACGAGAGAGAGAGAGAGAGAGAGAAAACAAAAAAACACGAGAGTGAGAGAGAGAGAGAGAGAGAGAGAGAGAGAGAGAGCGCTGGCCACGTCTGCGCTGGCTCCCGTCACAGGGTGCCTTCCGCTCGCTCCCCCCGCGGCCTGCCGCAGCTGGCGACTCCCAGCGCCGCCGCCGCAGCGGCGCGCGGCACCCCTGGTGGCGGTCTGTGCCGCTGGCCTCCGTGCGCGCGTGGGCCGCGAGGCCCTGCGCCCCCCCCCCCCCCCCTGAAGGTGGGGGGGCCCTGGGGGACCCTGCGCCCCGCGATCTCCGCGCCTGTGTCGACTGGGCAACGTCGCGCAGTTGCCAGCAGGCGCGACAGTCGCAACTCGCGCGCGCCACCCCGCACGCGCCGCGCGGCAGATCTTCAGCGAAAGGGAGGCCGCGATTACAGCCATAGAGGCGCGCTGCCGCGAGTCGAGACGTTCGGGGGACGGCCGATGGGGGACCCTGCGGGCCGCGGCGGGCGGCCCCGGCGTGGCCGACGCCGGAGGCATCCGGGTGCTGCTGCCTTAAAAACAAACTGCACATGCGAGCGACTTTTCATCCGATGTTTTAGAAAACTGTACATGCGAGCGACCTTTCATCCGATGCTTCTGTGCAGTGCCATTTCGGCTGAAGAGCCCCTGGAGGGCGAAAGCTACCTGCGCTTGGCACAAAAAACACATCAGCATCCGAGCAGGCTTGATAGTCCTTTCGATCGGCAGCCTGCAGCGACCTGTGACCCAGAAGCCTCAAGGGGGAAATGGGTACCCCCTAGAGCACTCCCCTTCGCCCGTTTGCCGCTCTGTCGTTCTCCCGGGAAGCCCGCGTCGCCACCGCTGGAGTCGCCTCGAAGTTTCGGTCAGAACGCGCCCCGGGAGAGGCGTGGGGAGTAGCGGTATCGGTACCTTCTGGTCTCCCCATACCCAGCGTTGGCGTACGGTTCGGTTCGCAGTGTGCTGCTAGAGCGCGGCCCTCTACGAGGCCTATGGGGCAAATGGCTGTGGGGACGGGAAGACACGATTGTAATCGCCCATCCCGTCAGCGCGAAGCTGTGTACGCAGCCACTTTGCCACCACAGCCAGGAGTTAAGGAGGCACAGTGCTCGGCGGCGCCGGGCTCGTGGAATGCAGGGGGTGGCCGCGGTGCTACCCCTGCCCGCGCGGCCGACGCTGGAGGCGTGTCGGACGTTTGTATGGTTTTCGGTGAGGCCAGCGCCGGACAATCTGGGACATTCTGGAGCATCTATTGGGCCATCCTGGGGAAAAGGCCACGCGCGAGACCGAGCAGTGCTCCGGGAACAGACGTCCGATCGATGGCAACAAGGGGGCGGCGTGCTCGGCTGCGCCGAGCTCGTGGAGCGCAGGGGGGTGTCCGCGGCGCGGTCCCGGCCCGGCGGTGGCAGCATGGGCGGTGGAGGTTTGCAGCGGGCCGGGCGGGCGGCTCGGCGCCCTCGGCTGCTGCTGCTGCCACCCCTGCCGCAGCGGCGGTGGTCGACGGGGCCCCTGCCTGCCAGGGGCCAGCTCGCCGCGAGCGGCGGCGGACCCAGATCTCCGACGAGATGTTGTTGTTCAATCTGAGCATTTGTCCTCGATTTCGTCCTCTGGGGCCCGCTGACTATCGGGCCCCAGGTCCCGCATGAATGGGTCCGGGGCAATTTTCTTGCCCTGGGGAGAGCGTCGAGACCTGTGGGGCTGCGCATGGCACAAAAGATACATCCTCGTACATCTAAACACGCAGCAACAACAACCCCGTCGTGGGAGCGGCTGGAGGCCCTCAGGGCGAGATGCTCGGGGTCTCGCCGCGCGGCGGCGCCGAGACTTTCCTGGAGGCGGCCGAGGCGGAGCCGCTGCCCCCGCGCGAACGCCAGGAGAGGTGCGCGAGATCCTGGCGATGTGCAGGAACCTGCGCCGCTCAGGCTCGGCGGCGTCTGGGCCATCCTGGCCCTCCCGCTGCTCCGGAAGCATGCCGTTTATGATGGCCGGCGTCTGGACCGTCCCCCTGCTGGACCCCGTGTGATGGCAGCTGTCGTGTGCGGCGCGTGCCCCTCTGGGGTTCGCCGCCCATCGGCGAGCGCCAGGGGCATCGGCATCAGGGCCGCTCCCCCGCTGCCGGACCTCTTGCCAGTTCCTGATGGTGTGCTCGCGTGGACTGGCGTTGATACCAGGATACAGTGCCAGGCCAGGAGGAAGCGCAGGACGAGGTGTGCAAGTAGCGGGGACGAGGAGGAGGAGGAGGAGGAGGACGAGGACGAGGGGGACGGGGATGAGGGGGCTGAGGGGGATGAGGGGGATGAGGGCGACAGGGAGAAGGGGAGGGGAGGGGGAGGAGAGGGGGAGAGGAGGGGGAGGGGACGAGATTGATAGTGAGCGGAAGGTGGGGAGTAAACCCAAAATTGTTTACCAAACACCACCCTGTCCCAATTTCCTTTTCGAAGGTCCATGCAATCCTTCCTTCTCACTGCAGGATGTCCCCTGGAAAGACGAGCACCCGATTGGCCTGGTAGCCCTGTTCTCGAACACGAACTGCTGTGAACCCGTCTAGCGAGAGAAAACAGTGCCAGAGGATAGGGTCACAAAATTCAGCGAGGTGTCATGCGTGGGACCCGGTTTGTACAGGAACCGCCTCCCCCCGTGTAATTGCATGATTGATTGACATTCTTGGTCATCAACGTTGATGGAGTATCAAGCGACGGCTTGGTTTCGAAAAGGAACCGCCATCCGCGAGGTTGGTCCATCCTTTCAGAAGTCGTTGCCGGCGTGGACCTCAAGCAGTGAATTGCTGTACCTTCGGTGTGTATGTTGTGTAGAAGAAGCTACGTGGTGTAAACGATGCATGATCCAATGTCTGTGGTGCAGGCTATGGTGGTGCAGTGGTGCAAGATTTGTGGCGCATGCCATGTAGTGCAGGCAATGTGGTACAAGCTTCAGATCTGCAAGCTGTGCTGTGCGAAATACAAGATGTGTCGCGAATGCTGCGCAGTGCAATATCTACATATATATATATATATATACACATACACGGTGCAAGCAACGTTGCGACATGAAGCTGGCGTAGCAGATGCAACTGAAACTATGAAGCAAGCAGCACGGGGGGGGGCCTGGGGCCACCCTGTACGAGGAGGAGGAGGAGGAGGAGGAGGAGGAGAAGGAGGAGGAGGAGGAGGAGGAGGAGGAGGAGGAGGAGGAGGAGGAGGAGGAGGGGGAGGGGGAGGAGGGCAAGCTAGGTACGCTCGCGTCATATCTGACATCCTACCCCTCCCTCCCATCCCTTACCATGGCGTAGATCCCTTCTCTACTCCCACAGTCGGATGTTGAGCAGGGCAATGATCCCGAAAGGGTACGCGATGCACTGTAGAGCACGGCATGGCATGGCGTAGAAGAGCACCGCAAAGCGTAGTATGTCACAGCATGGCGTGGCGTGCCGTAGTGAGGACTT